TATGTTAATGGTCACTGTCACAGAATCCTCCTTCTGTATTTAGTTACAAAGGTGCGTCCTGAAGTCCCACAGACTTCCCTGGAGGTGGGGCAGCTGGATTGCACTCTGGGTTCCAAATCTCTGAATCCTCCTCTGGGCTCAACTTCCTGCCAGGTGGGACCGGGCTTGTGGGGGCTTTCAGCTCACCTCTTGACTACGCAGGGAACCTTCTCCCTCTGGCTCCATGGGGAGCCTTCTGCCAGATTCAAGCAGTCTTTATTGAAGAAAGGTCCCTGTTCTAAAATGGCACTTTGGAGACAGGCACACTCTTCCGCGAGCCTGGTCTGCCCCGGCCGTGGGTGCCCGCTCCCACTCTGGGTTCGGACTGCTGGCCTGAAGGGGTCTGGCGTGGGCGAACTTCCCAGCTCACCTCTGGCTCCTCTGGGAGACTTCTGCCGGTTTCAAGCAGTCTTTACTGAAGAACGGTCCCTATTCTAAAATGGTGATTCAGAGAGAGATGCACTCTCCCACGTGCCCAGTAGGCCCTGGCCGTGGGTGCCCGTTCCCCCTCTGGGCTTGGACTGCTGGCCAGAAGGGGCCTGGACATGGGCAAACTTCCCAGCTCACCTCTGGCTCCTCTGCCGGTTTCAAGCAGTCTTTATTGAAGAACGGTCCCTATTCTAAAAAAATTATAAAGCATTCTAAACAAATTATTCTAGAGAATTCTGAGAATAATTTTACAATGACTTACTTTTAATCTTGGAAAAACTCCCAGAGAGTAGGACACATGAGACTCAAGAACTGTTATGTAGCACTTGATGACCATAAGCAGTGCCTTCTTTAAAACAAAAAAGGGAGGGGGCTCTCTGGTGGCACAGGGGTTATGTCTCAGCACTATCAAGCTATCACCAACCACTGCTATCTGAGTTTGATCCCCAGTCAGGTATCTAATAACTTATATGGCGCAGCAGACCTCTCCTGTCTCACCCACTGCTCCCCTCAGCAGTGTATTTCAGTCAGGTTGCTTGTTCTGTTCCCCACTCTGTCTCTGGTGAAACCTCTCACTCCCCACACCTTTGGCCTAGACCTCAGTTCTTGTATGCATAAATAAATAAAAAAATAAATCTTTAAAAGAAAGAAAGAGAAAGATGAGTTTTTAATGATTTATTTTTCAATCAAAGAGACTGGACTCCGTAGTAGTTCATTCTTCATGTCTGTCCGTGTGTGGTAAACAGAAGGCAATAGACATAACTGCTTAAAAGGGAGCATGAATTGGGAGATCACGGTCTTCCCTCTTCCCTCTCTGTGTTTCACAATTATTTAAGTGTGAGTTGATAATTCAAAGCACTACATGACATATAAGTAACAAGTGACAAGTAAAAGATAATTCTCTATCTCCTAAATACACTTAATAGAAAAACAGAACTCTAAAATGTTAAGTCAGATGAGACAAGAGATTAAATCAGTCACTCCTCTAAGAACTTTTCTAAGAACTTACATATCAACTATTCAAAAACTTTGCAAAAGCTAGTAAATTTTGAAAGGGGTTTATCACTTTAATGTCACAAATAGGTAAACTAAGAAATCCAACACTGGATAACAAGAATATCATTGGACTATGAGATAGTGGTTAAACAACACTTTAATATATATGTGTGATTAATCTGCTTGCACAAACACTTGATGCTCTCAAGAGTGATAGTGAATAACAGTAGCAATAATAAAAATAGCAGCAACCACCTTTTTGGTATTTTAACTATATACTGTAACATGTTAAGCCTATAATACCAATGAGAAAACTGAGAATCACAACCCCCATTAAGAAAAATGATCATAATTACTGTAACAGAAAACAGAGCTAAGATTCAAACATAAATCTCAAACTAAATTCAGTTCTCTTTTTAATACAAACTGTAATTACAATTTGCCAGATTCTCCTCCCAACGTTTTTCAGGAACTGCCCATCTCCACTGCTCCACCACCCATATTTGTACACCAGAACTGCCCTGTATGCACCACTTGATCTTAGACCCTGACAACAGGTGACATACCCAGGGTTCATCTGCAAACCCAAGTTGGACCAGACAAATCAGATTTCTTCCCAAGCAGATCAGATCAGACTAAACTCTATCCAATCTCTATCCATGAATACTGAGAATTGTTGACACACACCTGTTTTCATCATGGTGATAGTGGAGATAAACAGAATGTAGTGAGAAAGGAGAATGAAGATATGTAAAAAGACACAGAAGTAGAATCTTAACAATGTCTCAGTCCCAGGTTCTGCTTCTTAGACCCACTGCAATCCTGTGGATTCCACAAACCTCAGGAGCCATCCAATATATATCTCCTCTTGAGTCTCTGTTTCAAACACTCAAAACATCTGAAAAATATGAACAGGTACCAAATCCTACACTAGGAGACCTCACATAATAGTGTCTCTATATTTTGTCTGCTCAGTAACCCTCTTTCTTGCTAACAGTGCCCTTCCCTGTTTGAAAACTATTCCTTCCCTACCTTACCCAACCTATGGCTCTAGTGGGGGCTGCTCCCCAAACCTTGGCTACACTACATAAATATACTCTATATACACTACAGCATCCCTGTGAGATATCATTATAACTATCTTTAAATAGAAAATTCATTATCTTATCCCAAATCACATAACCAATAGATGATACTGTCAGAATTTGAACCTACATATTTCACTTTAGAATGTGTACTTTTTCCAGTATACTAGCCCTATATACCACTCCCTTGTGACCTGTAACATCTTAGTATCAACTTATGAACCTATATTTACTGATCACCCTATGCAGCTGCATTAGAAAATAATGGGAAAAGAAAAACAATAAAATATGGGGAAACAAATGCAGTTTTTGATTAGATAAATCACAATTCACACTGTCCGGGTTAATTTTTAGGAAGTGTGCATGTATGTTTTACACACTGATGCCCAACAATGGCACTCATCTCCTGTGAACTAGAGAACAATCACTGTCCAAAAACACTTTTCCCATAACTCCAATGAAAATGAAGGGCTTGTTTTCTAGGAAATCTCCGAGATAATGGTCTAAAACCAATATAAGGGATGCAGTTAAATGCTACACACTGACATTTTATCACTAGTAGAAGAAATATGAGGGAAAAAATGATCCAATGTGTTCAAATCTCTGTTTTCTCAGTGGTAAACTGCAGCAGTTAATAGTAAGTGATTTCAGACTTAGTTTAACCTTGAAAGCCTTTCTTCAAATCAACACATGGAAGCTCAGTTATAAAACACCTAAAAGCAGATCCTGCCCACTAGTACCTGTGTGCCCCCACACATACATACTTAGGCCTTGGTCACTACAGCACTCCTGCAGAAACTGCTATGTCATCTCAGGCTGCCTCCAAATGGAATATTAAGAAATGGACAATCAGGAAAAAATATGCATGTATATGTCACAAAACAAACTGAATGCATGACTTTAAAAGTTTCAAAGATAAAGAAAAATGGTGTTTAATTACTATCAAGTTTAACCACTGAGCTACTTTTTATAAACCCATATGTAACAATAAAAATAAGAGCTAACTTGCTGAATGCTTACTATGTGCCAGACTTTCAAATATTTTTATGAGTTATCTTACCAAGGTCTCACCATAATTCCAGGAAGCAGGTACCCTTACCAATCCCACATTTTAGAGAACACACAGGAAGAGTAAGGAAAGTGGCCAAAAGTTACAAAGCCAGTGAGAAGAGAAGCCTGGGTCTGAACCCAGGGAGTCCCAATCTAGAGCCCCCACACCCACTTAAACTGTGCTATAGCAAATCACGCTGCAAAATATAGAGACTGAGTTTCAAAAGCACTATTTGTCCTAATAGCCTCAAACCTTACTCCAGCAAGTTTACATGAGCTTGCATTATCACCATATTCCCTCAACCTCAAATTTTTGAAGAAAGAAAGAAAGAAAAACAAGTAAATCCTTCAAACATTTCAGCAATCACTTAAAGCAACAATTCTCAAAGTATAGTCGGAGGGCCATCAGAGGTCTCCATTGAAATTTCCAAGTCCTCCCTTTCCACCCTTATCAATTGCGCACATTTGGATTTTCTTCATATACCTCAACCAGTATAATACAATGCAAGAGGGTAAATGCAAAAGCAAGTAGAAGAATTCAGCTATCTTTTATTAAGTTGAACATTTAAAGATTTTTGAAGCACAGTTGAACAATGCCACTATTTTTGTTTTAGAACATACTTATTTTTCACAAAATATTATTTGTTAACAAGTACATTTTAAAAAAAAAAACTAATATTTTTATTATGATTACTAATGTAATAATAAATATTGTTATATAAAACACACAAGAACAAAAGCATGTTTGGCACCAAGTTTTTAGAATTTATAGGGTCCTGAAATCAAAAAGTTTAAGAATTCCCACTTTAAAATACACTTATTTTTATAGGGGACAGAGCGTCCACAATTTAAACCCGAAAGTTTCAGTGTTATTTCCTATGTAAAATATACGAGCTAATGGAAAAGTTAGATTACCCAATAAATGTACACCAAACAGAAATTTACACATTAAGTACAATTAAAATAATATATATATTTTAAAGATTTATTTATTTATTTATACAAGCACTGGGTACAGTCAGAAGCATGGGAGGGTGAGAGAATTCACCAGAGCCAGAGCAGGGAGCAGAACAGGCAGATGGACGAAGCAAACTGCCGAGGGGAGGAGCGGGCGGCAGGAGAGGTCTGCGCACCGTGTGGGCCTCTCCTCCAGTGGCCGGGGATCGAACCTGTGCTGCAGAGGCTGCGGGCAGCTTTGCAACCCAGCGCTCAACCGCTGCACCACCGGGGAGGCCCCAAAATAATGTATTTCGAAAGTTGACTAATCATCTTTAAAATTAATCAGGTTTTATCTATCATATAAGTATTCTATACAACACCTAATGACTTCATAACTATTACTTCAGACTTCAGTAGCTAAGTCTTTAACATCTATCTAAGCAATTCAGATTGATGGCTTACATTTAAGGTACATTTCAAAATCAGCTATACATTGTTAACTGGTCCTCCCTGGCGGCACAGCTGGTTGAGCGCAGCGCTGTGAAGCTGTTCGCAGCCTCTGCAGTGGTTTGAATCTCCACCAGCCAGGGTGATTCCCACATGGCACGACAGACCACTCCTGTCTCACCCGCTGCTCCCCTCAGCAGTGTCTTCGGTCCATCTGCTTGTTCTGCTCCCCGCTCTGTCTCTGGTGAATCCTCTCATCCTCCCGTGCCTCTGGCTTGTATCCCAGTACTTGTATAAATAAATAAATCTTAAAAAAAAAAAGGCACTGTTAACTTCCCAATTGAAAAAAAGACTAAAAACCAAATATAAGGACAGTTGTTTGTTGTGTTTATAATTTGTTTAATATATTATGGAAGAAAAATTACTAGTATAAAGTAAGTTCTCAAATTAAATATTAATTCATGCTTCCACTACTAGGATATGTTTACATATCTTTTATAACTTAAGCTTGAATATTTATACTTAAAATCAGTGCAATAACAATCACCACCAAAACATCTATTAAATGCTGAGATGATCATATAATAATGTGAAATAAGTACAAATATGTTTTAACTAACACACTTCCTTCCAAAAAGTTTTATAAAGATTACAAATTGGGCCTCCCTGGTGGCACAAGGGTTACCCTTGTGCAAGGGTTCACAGCACTGTGAAGCTATCCACAGCCCCTGTAGCACAAGTTTTATCCCCAGCTGGCCATGGAGCTACCCACATGGTGCAACAGACCTCTCCTGTCTCTCCCCCTACTCCCCTCAGCAGTGTATTTCAGTCAGTCTGCCTAGTTTGTTACCCATTCTGAGTCTGGTGAATCCTCTCATTCCACACCAGCACCTCTGCCCTGTACCCCAGTTCTTGTATGCATAAATAAATAAACCATTAAAAAAATAAAATATTACAAACTGTGTAAATGCAAAAATACATTAGCATGATATTTAATGCAGTCACAAAAAGAGTCAAGTAAACCAAAAGATCAAAGAAATACACAGCCCAATGTAATATTTATGAAGTTGTTATTTTTCCTTAGTTTTGTGAGATAAAGACATGCTATAACCTTAAATGGAAATGTAAGTAGGTTAATCATAAATGCACATGAGAACAACTATTTAGGCTAATTTAATCTGGCTCTAAACCATTCTGTCTGCTTCTTCCTCAGAAGAAGAAATGGAGGGGTTTTTTCCCTACTGTCATCTTCCAATTTGAAAATAGACATTTTAGCTATCCAAAGAAAGAAAATTATTCAGACTTCTCTTACAAAGATAAGATAGCAATAATGGCTTAAACCATTAGATCCCACATTTCAGATTATTTTTAAAATGACCACAGAGGGAAAAAAAATAAGAAAAAGCTTGTAAATTCAAGGAAACAACAAAATTCAAGCCACTATCTCCTAATTACATTGACTCTTCAGCCCCTTTCACCTTCTGCAAAAATGCCGGTTTTTGAAAATGTTCCTCTAAATGCTATCTTGCTGTCAAATAAAAATTTTCAAATTATCACTATTTCTTCATGGTGATTCAGATTTTAAGCTTAGTCAAGTCACTTATTTTTAATAATCACCAAGCCCAATGACATGATTAAGTTTGTTATATTGTATTAAATATAAATATAGTTGATAAATAAGTTTTGGAACACTGACAGCCTTGTCCAAATGCAACTGTGGGACAGCACAGCCAATGGGGCTGGTACTGTAGTGCGGGTAGGTGTGAAGGGCAACAGTCTTGTGCTCTTGCAATTTCAATTTAAGTATGTGCTTGGGTTAGACTGAGGAAAGTAACTTCCAACCTTCCACTTCGACAGTCATTTTCTTCTCTAAATGTATGAACTTAATAATTATGTACACACTTAATAGTTAAACTCAAAAATTTATGCATATAGAATAAATTATAAATATTTTCTGGGCCTCCCTGGTGGCCCAGCGGTTGAGCACTAGGTTGCAAAGCTGCTTGCAGCCTCTGCAGCACCAGCTCGATCCCCGTCACCCGGGCAAGGGTCCCACATGGCATGCAGACCTCTCCTGCCACCCTCTGCTCCCCTCTGCAGTGTATTTCGTCAGTATGCCTGTTCTGATCCCCGCTCTGGCTCTGGTGAATTCTCTCACCCTCCCGTGCTTCTGACTGTACCCAGTGCTTGTATAAATAAATAAATCTTAAAAAATAAATAAATACATATTTTCTGAGGAACTATTAACAAAGCCTGCACATTCCTCGTTAAGCAACTTTGAAATATAGAGAACACCCCCAAAAGCACGGCCATAGAGAAGATACAGAGCATACCAGAAAAAGACTTGTGGCTACTATGCCTAAACAGACATCACAATATCAAATATTTTAATGATATTTTAAGTTCTATTTAATTAAGGTCACCTATTTTAATGACCTTTTAATCATTTATTTTACCTTCCAATATCTGAACGTGTTCATAATATCACTGAACTTTCAAGACAAAAAGGAAAAAAAATAATGTTTTTTAAGTAACAACATCTAGGAATGTGCTTTGAAGAATGAAAGAGGTAGATAGAGACTGGGAGAGATATATTAATCTTTCTAATTCTGATGCAAGACAACTGCTATCCATAAGCTAAATATCTGTACTAATGTAAAGCAAAGTTGTGATACATATATTTTTAAACGGGTGCCTGACTTCAAATATCCCCAAAAAGATTATTCATGGGAAAAATATCTAGTTGAACAGACTATGTTGTGACATTAATAGTCTCCAGAACATTACAATTTTTTTCCATTAAATCCAAAGATACTGAGAGCCATCAAAATGCTAGATTTTCTCTCATAATTTGGCTGCCTTTTACTAAGAGTCAAGAATATAAATTATTGCTTTTAAAGGAAATTCACAAGTCAATTGCATTCCTAAAAATCACAGGAAGGTCTCTAGTCAAAGAAACAGATCTCTTCATTACAAAGGGATAAAGAGCAGTAACTGGCTGTGAGGTGACTCCTGAGCCTCCCAAAAAAAGGCACAAACAAAATTTGCGAACAGTGCTCTGAGCCAGGAGGGAAAACTTACAAAGATCTAGAACCTAAGTAAAGGTTACAGCCCTGGAGTTAACCCTTTCTGTAATGTTGACAGACTAAGATGCCATATTTTTAGAGTAGTCAGAAAACTTACTATCCACATACATAACAGAACACTCCTCAATCTACAATAAAATAAGAACAGTGTTCTAATTTCAAAACTTACCTAGAAAGATATCACTGGGGAGGTGAAGGGAAAAAAAATACACAGACACCCCTCTGCCATTGCTAATTTAGCTCAATTCAAATAAAAATATCTTATTCTCTAAACTACTTGACAAACATGCCATTCCTGGAAATGAGTAGCCTCCTATTGAGAACAGAGTTCTCACCAATTCTAAGAGATTGAAGGATTAATTGTCATTGTTGCTGTTCCAAGAATCTCCTCCAGGACTCTCTCCATCCTGGCCCCAAAGAAAATAACTCTTCACTTCACCTCTCTCCACTGAAACAAGGAGACATGATGAGCCTTTTCTTGAAAGCTAAAGACAGGGAAGTCTCTTATCATATCCATATACCAAATAGCTGTAGCATGTTCATTAGAAATCTCCAGAAGCTTCTTGGCCTAAGAATGTTTTTAGATTAAAACACTTTAAAGGCAAGACTGTTGCCAAAATGCCACTCCATTTCCAAATTTCCCATAGTCATTAGAAAGATACATCATAAATAGTGTTACTGGTCACAACATAATTTGATTTGCTTTTTAAAGATTGCCCTGAGATTTACTCACAATGTGTGGATAAAACATAACCTCTACTAATCCTCACCACGCTCCATGAAGCATATATTAATACCATATTCCCATTTTATAAAAAACAGAGACTCCACAGCATTCAACATTAGTCACACAGGTGGTAAGTGGTGAAAATGGAATTCAAAACCAAGTATCTAAGGAACACACAAAAATGATTTCATTGAAAAACTTCTGCCTGAGCTGCTCAAGGATACTATATCAGCCAAATCTCCCTGGAATTCACAGGAGAATCACATGGGGGAAAGCAAACACACACACGCGCGCACACACACACACACACACATCAAAGCTACAGGCTTACCTCCATCAAAGATACAGTCACCTTCTACCTTCTAAATTCTCTTCATTACCTGCACCTGCTAATAATCCGCTTTACATTCCACTGCCATGACCAGGACTGAAGCAGCCTTTAGTATTACTTTTAACTGGAATCAACAGCACAAAAATGCTGAGCGTGCAAGTATAGTATAGAAAACACCAAGCCATTTTTATTGAGGTCACAGCCCACATACTCCCAACCCAGTCACTCTCTCAAAGTAGTAAAAGCAAAATAGACTACACACTGAGTTAACTGCCTTGCTAGATATGTAACTGTAATGGCAGGAAGGGTACAGTGCAGGTTCTCTATGATCTGAGCAGACAGGGTAAAGGAGGAGTCCTGGAGCCCACGGTGGCTTTTCAGGCTTTTAATGGGATTTACCAGGCACAAGGCAGGCAGGCAGGGGTGCTGCCCAGCAAGTTTTCATTCGTTCTGGGCTCTCTGGCGTTCTCTCTTCTTCCCTCGTGGTTCTTCCATTCGTTCTGCTGGTGTCCCCAAGACGCCGCCCTTATAAGCCTAGTCTCTCAGCCCAGATGAATCCCATCTACATGTGCCCACACCCTACTCCAGGTGTCCGCCATCAGGCATGCATTCAGGACCGCAGTGATCTGTCATCAATCCTAATGGCAGGAGGGCAGAAAAGCCTGATACTTTCTATTTACCCTACAGTAATAGAATAATGGCCAAGCAACCATTTACTGTGTGTTAACTATTTGCCCGGGTCCTTCTCAACTTCAAAGCTAAACTTCAAAATAACCCTAAGTTATAGGTATTATTATTCCCATTTTTCAAATGAGGAAATGTAGGGTAAGGATCCCTCCTTTACTCAGGTCTGCTGGAATTATAAAAAACCTTCTCCGTGTCATTCCTGCCCCTACAGGAAACCAAGACATAGTTTAAGACCCTTCCTCAAATCACACAAAAGTAGTATATAACACAAGGTCCCTAATCTAGGAGCACACAACCCTGTGAAATCAAAATGAATTCACTTAAAACAACTGACAACTATTCCTTAAAAGTTCACTGTATGGAGAGTCCAGCAGAGTGAAGAGTCTGGGCTCACCTCCTCTATATACTCACAACTAGACTACGTAAGAGCAAATCCCCAAAACACCCTGAAGGAAAACTGAACAACTACAGCACAG